ATAATTGTGGTTTATATTTTTATAAATTAAATATAAAAATATCAATTTGATAATTTAGGTTAGGCTCCATTTAGTGGAAATAGACAACCGCTTAATTTAGGTGACTGCACAAGAGACCACTTGAATAATTTTTGCAGAAAATGGAAAAAATTATATTACCACTGCCTCATACTAACATTTTCAAATTATTTTTACTACTTTTCAAAATTCAATTCCCTAATTTTTTAAAATATAAATAATCTAAGAATTTTTTTCATCAGCTGATTGATGGCTCATTAATGCAAAGATTATTATCAAAGCCAACCAAACTTAGCCACTAATTATTAATTGATTTCGCAAAACACAGGTCTCGCCGTGGACAAGGCAAACTATTTTTTATATCATTTGGTTGTAAAGAAATAACCTCATAATTGCCCTGTCAACTTAATTCTTTTATCATGTTTTAGACTTTAAACATGGCTTATGAACTATTACTACGAATATTATTTGAAATATATAGCTTGTTGATTCAGATCGAGAGGCACTACTAAGATGCAAACATGAATTTAATGAGTGGAAGGGAAACTATGAATCAATTGATCAAAAAATTATTTTTTCCATCAAGTGAATCAATGTTAACATCTATATGTGTGGAATGCCAATTAGCAAGCATAAAAATAATTTGATAAAAAACCAACAAGAACTTTATCAGTTTAATATTGACTAATCTAAAATCTTAATTTGTGCTTAGAGGAGATTGTAATGCCTCAAATCTCATATCAGAATAGAACTATGAGTCTAACTGATATATAAGTGTAAAAACCAACCATTACTAATAATTGAGTTTAAGTTTTTGAGAACTTTTTGACTTTAAACTAAAAAATTGTTAAGTTAGTAATGAATTTTAACTCAGATTAACCCCGTTTGTTTTTTCCTTTACTTGATTATACTTTTTTACATAAATATATATAAAAAAAGAAAAAGAAAAAAGTATTTTGCTTATAAAACACCAAACTTACCACAAAATGAGATAAGTTTTGAATGTAAGATGAATTATTTTTAAAAAGTATTATATAACTTATACTATACAACTTAAATTATTAAACAGAGGTGAGTTCTTAATATTAAGGGTTATCCCCATCCAAATATTATCTATTCCACCTATTAGAAAGAAAAGAACTTAAATCAAAATACTTAATAGTTTGACAATACATTTATACAAAACTTCTACCTGAACACATGCAATAGAGCCTTAGACAGTCAAATGAAGTCCAATGCACGAAATAACTTGATCTTTGGATAGTATTGTTGTGGTAAATGTCGTGATGCCAGGTCATCAGCACCTATACTGTAAAATAGATATTTGACAAAAAGAAAAAAGACACATGATAAAATCATAACTGTATAATACAACTCTAATTCTTATTTTACAGATTTACATTTAAAACATATAACAAAAATAAAACTATATTTTACAATCTAAAATGAATAATAAAAAAAAAAAACTACAAAGGAAAAATTGTCACTGCATGCAAATACAAAAATGTGTTTTGAACTTTATAGGCCATACTCCACCGAATTGATATGTGGAGGCGAATCCTTCCATCCAATAGTTGGTGAATGTGTACGAACTAATATGAATAAAAGCAAAAGGTAAGGTTATATTCGAAGTAAGTAAAAAGATAAAGGCTTATCTATTAAAAAGAAAAACTTTCCCAATATAAGTTAGTTCAGCCTCCGGCTAACATCGCAACTGCTATTTTCAATTTCGCGAAGTCTTCTTTCTTCTTTTGCAAGTACACTGGTGGCACCATGGTTCTTGAGGTCAGCGATGGAGAAAGGAATCGCCTTTTTATTATTTTCGTTAACTTTTAATTTCGTTGTTTTTTTGGTTGATTTGTTCAGAATTTTGTACAACTTCGGGTTTGTTTGATCGATTTTGAGGAGCTTTTTTGCATCTCTTAATCCAACAGGCGACCATGATATGCATCGATAACTCTGAATGGATGCGGAACGGTGATTACTCTCCGTCTCGATTACAAGCCCAAGCCGACGCTATTAATCTCATCTGTGGAGCTAAAACTCAGGTAATGAATGCTATTGTGATAATTTTGTGAATGAATGTATTTTGATTTTGGATCTGCATAAATTAGGGTTTTAGTTTATGTAATTGTGAAATTGATTTTTTTTTTTTTTTCTGATGAATGCTTTGCAGTCTAATCCAGAGAATACCGTGGGGATTTTAACGATGGCGGGGAAAGGAGTGCGGGTTTTAGCTACTCCAACCTCTGATCTTGGAAAGATATTAGCTTGCATGCACGGTACTTTTAAATTTTGCATCTTGCTCTCTCTATTTTTACTCGTTTTAAGATAATTTTGCCCCCTTTAGCTGAATGAACTTAAGCTTACTCAAGTTATGAAGGGGGTTTTATTGATTAATCTCTGGGCAATGTGTTTTCTTTTGTGAAGAAAATCATGTTTCTGTTTGTGTGCAATTCTTGAATTTTGGTTTATCTAAGTTTAATTATAGTTATGACAAATAGAGGATGTGAGGCTACTTTCTATCAGATGAGTATAGCAATAGCACTCGTTAATCTGCTTGCTGAAAACGTTTGAGTTATTTAAATTTTGAGGTTTGTGTCAGAAGTTTTGTCATGGGAGGTCTATTGTTTATTATTAATTTTGTGATGGTTCGTTCATATGTTTCTGTAGAACATGAATTCTTAGATATGTAGAAGAAACAGAAACTTAGATATGTAACATTTCTGTCAAACTCACCGCTATGCTAGGCCTACTTTGAAATCATGTTATCCTTGCAATTTGTTATTACAACATGGGTAGACAGTGTTTCAGACTTTCAGTGTTCATCTTTATTCTTTTCAATGTTTTATCCAGGACTTGAAATTGGAGGTGAGATGAACTTAGCAGCTGGGATCCAAGTTGCTCAGTTGGCTCTCAAACATCGCCAAAACAAAAATCAACAGCAAAGAATTATAGTTTTTGTTGGAAGGTAAACTAAATTGGGCTTTAATAATCTTCCCTTTTTATTTTGTTCACACATAACTTCATATGTTTTATGCCTTCAGTCCCATCAAATATGACAAGAAGGCATTGGAGACGATAGGGAAGAAATTGAAAAAGAATAGTGTAGCTCTGGATATTGTTGATTTTGGGGAAAATGAAGATGAAAAGCCAGAGAAATTGGAGGCTCTCCTTGCGGCTGTTAACAATAATGACCGCAGTCACATAGTTCATGTTCCCCCTGGTCCAAATGCTCTTTCAGATGTACTTATCAGGTCTGATACATCAAAATCTTTCTTGATCTTTTCAAGTAGAAATTTATCAATAAAAACATCATTCCCCACAGTTTACAAAAGTTGTTATGTCTCCTGTTTATTTTCTATTTTGCAGCACACCTGTATTTACTGGTGATGGGGAAGGAGGAAGTGGCTTTGCTGCAGCAGCCGCGGCAGCAGCTGCAGCTGGTGGGGACTTTGATTTTGGTGTGGATCCCAACCTAGATCCTGAGTTGGCTCTTGCACTTAGAGTTTCCATGGAAGAGGAGAGGGCAAGGCAAGAAGCTGCTGCGAAAAGAGCTTCTGAGGAAGCTGCTAGACAAGAAAAGGGGGAGGCACCACAATCCAGCTTGCAGGATGCTACCATTGATGTGAGCCATAAAGTGGCTGATCCAATGGTTGGTTTTGCTTGAAGTTAATTATATATATTGTTCAGATTTTCTGTGTGTTACGATCTGCTATTGGAAACAGCTACTTGTTTTTGACTTAGCTTTGTCAAAATTATTTTATGACAGGATGAGGATGATGCTTTGCTGAAGCAGGCTCTTGCGATGTCAATGGATGTTACTGGATCTGATCCATCTCAGGGTGATGCTGAGATGTCAGAGGTCCATATGGAGGATCGGGAGTTAGCCATGGGTAAGTTCTGGTATTCTATATGTTTTTGCATATTTTCTCAACTTGAGTTTGGTATCCCTATAAAACCACAGGACTGAAATGTGCTTATAATATCTCAGAGGGCGTATTTGTATCATGGTTTTGCTGAATCTCAGGGATTGACAATTTATGTGATATGAAAGCCAAGGATTTAAACCCTTTGAATTAATAAGTTTTTGTTTTTGCAGCTGTATAGGATAGGAGATCTTCATATTGTGGTGAAAGATGAACAAGTTGAAATATCTCACTTTCACATACAAAGTCCCAGAAAACAAACTCACCTAATTAGTATTAGGCTTCACCTTGAACCTTTTAGTATATTAAGGTGAATTATTTTGAGACCCACTTTTTAGCATTTATAGCCTAATTTGAACATTTGTATTTATGCCTTTAGGTTTATGGCTAGTGTAGTTTACAGGTAGCATTTGTGTCAATAGAAGGTAGACATCTAAATCCTTCCTCTTCTGAACCTAAACACTGGCAGCATTGTTTTCACTTCGTTATTTCACTATCTGTGATTCCAAACAGTTGGTCATCTCATGACTGAAGTTAGATTTTTTTTTTTTTTTTTTTGGATCAGCTGACCAGAGTTAGAATTTTAGCTTGCTATGTGAGACTGTTAATTCTATTTGTTGCATGAGTAGTGCACTTGGTTGTCAATGTCTAATCAACCTGCCAAGTCAAGGTTCCTCTTTTGTTACACTTACAGTGTGGCTTGAGTTGTTACCAAACCCATAGAGATATCTATTTCTTCACTAAATTTAAGAATGACCTTTGTTGCATGCAGCTCTTCAGATGTCTATGCAGGACAATACAAATGCTTCACAGTCAGAGATTGGCAGGGTGTTAGGAGATCAGTCCCTTATGGCATCTATACTTCAGTCAGTAAGTTTGATTTGAACCTGCACATTTAACTCCGCAGGTAATATATTTTAAGTATTTTTTTCCTGAATACTTATGGGTTATTGCTCTTGCAGCTTCCTGGAGTTGACCCAAATGATCCCCAAGTGAAAGATTTGTTAGCTTCTTTGCCAGGTCAATCTGAGGTGTGTTCATTAGTACTAATATGTGCTTCAACTTAGTTACATCTTGTTCATTGGGTTCTGTCACCTCATTTTCTTTGCTCCAATAATTACAGTTTTGTTAGTTAACACCATTATTTTGCATGGTGGCTCTGTCAATGCTACCATGTCCTGATGTCTTTTTTAGTAGTTAGCAGTTACTTACTCTTTTCCCTTGCTTTCCAATACAACTAGTCGCAAGAGAAGAAGGATGAAGAACCGCCAAAGGAGGACAAGTAAAGATGTGAAGCAACTTGCTGGTGAAGCTTCAAGCCTACCTATGGTCGCAGAAATCAGTCCCACCTAACTACGAAGGATGATGCCTTGACAGTTTCTAGCCGACAATTGTTTTTATCTGTGCAACTCTATTGAGTCATCCTTTCTTTTTCATATGTTCTAAAGCACTTCTCCTGAAGATTGGAACTTTGAACTTGTGTCTTAATCCATAGTTTCGACATTTATAGGGATTTAAAAATCATACGCAAGGTTTATTTGTTTCTAAACAAATTTAATTCAATGATGTTTTTGACATTATGTCGGTTTAGTGACCGTTTGGTGTGTCTGGAGTTTTTAATAGAAATTCTGTTGCAAATAAACTATTGTAGAAGCGTTGTTTTTGTAAACAGAAAGAAAAATAAAAATAAAATAAAAACAACGTATTAATTTCATTAAACTCTAAATAAAAAGATTTTGTAAAAGCATCAATTCGACGTTTTTGAGATTTGTAATGAAATAAACAAAATATTAATTTATGAAAAATTGTATTATTTTTCATAAATTATAATATTTAGTATAGTTGAAATTTTTGGAATCCAAAAAAATTTCTCATAAGTTGTACCAAACATAACCTTAATTACATTTTCGGCAGCCCATGCGGTCTTAAGATGGCTATACTATTCTTGAACCTAGGAAGACAAGGTTATGCGGCTGAAATTTATGGTGCTACCTTGAACACTAGGCACTGATTAGAATACTTCGACCAAAACGGGTTCTCTGCAACAATGCAAGACATGGACATGCATATTTTTTCTGACATTTTTCATAAAATCTGGTTCCCTAGCCTTTCTAAGAAATCCTTTTTTATTTTTTAATCTTAGTTTGCACAATAAAATGTAATTTTCTCTTATCCCTTAAGTTATTATATAGATATATCATGTGATTTAAATTTTAAATCATTTAATTTTATTGAAAGGAAATTATTATTAATTTAATTAAGTCATTGACCCTATCATGGTTTTTTATTTCACAATATGTGGCTGAAATCCATTCTACCATAGGTTCACACCCTTATGCAGATTAAGCTACACCACCAAACTGGAGGGCTGTGTGTACTTCCACCAGGAAGAAGCCAGGAACCAACGGCGAAAACAAACAGGCCATTCCATAAACACCACCTTGGACACACCATGTATGTCTAGAGTAACTGAAAACACAACTTGTGGGGCTGTTATACAAAGGTAGGCCCACCGGCAGGAACGGTATGCCTCCTTTTCTCGTCCATTCCTTGTCTTACAAACAAATCTGCCAAGTTTTAAACGTTTGTTCTGAATCACCTACTCCAATTCATCTTTATCTACCAAATTGCAACACTTTTATTTTATAATTTCAGGTAAGAATTTATGTTGAGGTGTCGGCCCCAGTTCGCGGACAAATTCATGGAAGAACTCGATCATATGGATGTGAAATCTTGAAATAGGTATATAAAAACAAGCCAATGATCTATCCAAGTGGGCTAGAGAACCTGACCAGATTGGTTGTAATTGGAAGAACATGCATGGATTCATTCATTCCGAGAAACCTTTGGCTTTCTTTGACCTTTCTGCAATCTTCCAGGCTTCCACAGATCCACTGTGATTTTCTTCATCTATTTTCTCCTTTGCTTTCACGCCAAGAACCCCTTTGAGGAACACAAAGGTAGAAAGGTGGGGATGTGGGTGTGTGATCCGAGATGGGACCACTGCATATTCAGCTTAGTTTTTCTGTGCACCTGCTTGATGGCATTGTTAAGTTAGTTGAGTTAATTAACATATAATTTCATAAATTAATTTGATCGTATGGGATACAAGGACTAGTGTAAAAGCAGGTTAATTAATTGATATGTGTTTCTGTCTTCAAGTTCCAGTTACACTGATGGTGAATTATGAATACAGGGGTCAGCCTTGACTGCCGTTGGTGGGAAAAGCCAGAAACAGGACATGGGTAAATTGAATTAGAACTAGTTTGTCTACTTAAATTTAACTAATCTCTCTTTCAAAGTAAAGTTTTTATGTAATTTTACGTTCAGGTTATGATTACACCTGAATGGGATGAAAAATGCCAACTTAGATAAAATTACAAATGGATTAAATAGGGTTTGGTTTAGCTGTTGCAATCATTAGGGTATCTCATTCTAAAATTAACATGAACATGGTATTATCTAGTTATCAGCTGTCTATTATTTATAAAATTCTAACTTCAAATGAGTAAATAAGACCACCCACTTTGGTCTTCTTTAGTTGTTTTGATCCTTTAGTTTTAAGTAAACTAACTTGATAATTTTGCACAATAAATAAATAATAACAATTTTTTTTATTTAAAGTGAAAACAAAAGCAATGCATAAGAAAGAAAAACCTTTTTCTTTTTTCGGCCAACAAGAAGATAATGATTTTCAATTTTCATTTATGGGTTTGCTTTAACTTATGTTTTTTAATTACACTCTTATTTATTTATTATATAAAATCATTTAATTAAATTTTACATAAAAATTAAATTAGAACAATTAAATAAAACTTTTTATTGCCATCAAGGGGATTGCTATTTTTTAAAATTTTAAGTTAAATAGTAATAATAATTAACTCTCACTTATCTTTTAATGAACTTTACTTATATAATATGGGATTTAAACCCAATATTTATTACTTTTAAATTATTCTTCAAACACCTAGTTCCTTTCCATGGAGAGAACTAATAACCACTAAATACCACAAAGAGATAAACTTTGTGGTCCCAAACCAAGCTTAAATATAATTGATTATTACAACATTATGATCATAAATTATCATAATTGCCTTGCCATGTACAATTGCAATGCCAATCCAAATCCAATTCATCATAGGGGCAATTTAGTCTTTGTAAGAGCGAAGGCAAAGTTGTAATATTAATGAATGTCAGTGTCATTTTCGTGCTCCTGTATATATAAAAAAAAGGCCAATGCCTTTGTTACTACACGCCACCTTCAGTTTCAAAATTCCTTCAACGAAAAACTACGGCGGAGCTCACAGGAAAAGTTCTTCTGCAGCAGCAGCGGCGGCATCAATGGCGATGGCTTTCAAAATGGTAAATCGCATCCCTAATTTTTGTTCATCAATTCGATTTTTGGGTTTGGATTTTCCTTGAGAATCTGTGTTTGAAGCTGATGATCTGGTGTTTCCGGCGAATGATTTTACCAGGCGACGACTGGTATGTGGGTGACGGATGAGTGCAAAAACTCGTTCATGGAGATGAAATGGAAGAAGGTGCACCGGTACATCGTGTTCAAGATCGACGAGAAGTCAAGGCTGGTGACCGTCGATAAGGTCGGAGGCGCCGGTGAGAGCTACGACGATCTCGCCGCATCGCTTCCCACCGATGATTGCAGATACGCGGTGTTCGATTTCGATTTCGTCACCGTCGATAATTGCCGGAAAAGCAAGATCTTCTTCATCGCATGGTCCGTATTCCGTAACCACCCC